GGAAAAGGGAAAAGGGAAAAGGGAAAAGGGAAAAGGGAAAAGGGAAAAGGGAAAAGGGAAAAGGGAAAAGGGAAAAGGGAAGGCAAGGCAAAGGAAGGCAGAGGAAGGCAGAGGAAGGCAGAGGAAGGCAGAGGAAGGCAAAGGAAGGCAAAGGAAGGCAAAGGAAGGCAAAGGAAGGCAAAGGAAGGCAAAGGAAGGCAAGGCAAGGACTGTTTCAATAATTTACTGCTGCTTTAACGTTTTTATTTTGCATAAAAGCAATCTAAAGATGTGCAGGACCAACAGATATAAAAACTGTAGTTTTTGTAGCCTTGACAAAATATTGAAACTACCAAACCCTCACTCTGAGATAGAGCAAACTTCCATCACAAACGAATTAATTCATGGGTGACCTTTGAAACTGGGAGAGATGGAGTGTGAGGGATGCAAGAGGGAACACAGCCCTGCAAATGAGCTCTTACCTCCTCCAAGGACACCACAGAATCCACGTGCAGGTTGGGCAGGCGGATCAGGGCGCTGCTCTCAGGGGCAGCCTCAGCCTGGCTGCTGCTGCAGCTCTGCAGCATCTCCGTGCAGATATCATAGTTCTCAAGTGCCTGCTCCATGTCTCCCTATGGAAACAGGACACAGGAAAACAATCAAAAAAATCCTACACTTCTCACTGCACAAAGTCTCCAAAACTTGTAGAAAATGTTTACATTTAATGCAGGCACTGCCAGTGTGCTCGCTGCCTGTCTTGAAAAATTATAAAATAAATTCAACTGAATAGCTCAAATTAAAGCAAAAATATCTTAAAGTATCTTACCAATTATTTCAATAATGGATAAAACAAATCAGAAAAATGGAATTCAGCCTGCATAAATTTGTAAGAATGGTCTGGAGTGCTAAAATCCCTTTTCTTTAAAAAGGCAGAAGAGTAAACCAGCAGAAACAACTCCTCAATTTGTGCAAATTAAAACACTGAGCAAAGAAACATTCATCTATTCTGCAAAGTGAATGAACTCTACTTGCTCTGTGCAAAGTAAGTACTGAAATTGAGATGTCAGGGAGGCATGCACAGGCAAAATACAACTCTGAATATCACAAGGAAATAACTGCCAGTAGTTGCTAGTAGTTGAACTCTCATTTTTCCTAAATAACTTTATTGGAAAGGAATCCTTAGATGAAAAAAAAAAGAGGGAAGGAACAAGTGAGTTCACACTTATGAAACTGACTCACACAACTGGTTGACAACAGATTTAAACATAATTATTGCATTTAAAAACCCTCTTTGATGTCCTGGGGAAGCAACACAGAGAGGAAGGAAAAGACTGGGATCAAATAACATTTCTTCCAAATTATTCCCTTAGTGATAGGCTTAAAAACCTCTGCTTCAAAATTTGCATATTAAATTAAAAGTCTTCAAAAGCAGAACCACACCACCTTGAAAAAGCAGAGGGAACAGTAATGAAAACAGAGTCTGCTTCAGTTCAAATCTGAATTTTGGACTTCCTGAGATTTGATAGGATCCACAAATCCAGACCCCTAAAAATCTTACATTCTGCAGCTCCACAACACTATTCCAAGTAACTTCAGTACAAATATTTTCTTTTAAGCTGAGTACAAGCTCATTTAAACAAAGACAGATATTAAACATATCTGAATATTTGCTGATCACGTGAGACCTCCTACTTCATTTCCACCTCAACCCTCAGGGGAAGTTAATCATATTTAGAAGCAAAATGAAATCACTATGTTTTAAGCTGATTTTATCCACATGCCTAAAAGAGTTGAGATTCCTGAACCAGCTGCATCTGAAGAATATTTGTAGGGGGATATAAGAAAATAAAGATAGTGTAGGAAGTGATCTTACCCCTAAGGAGCTGCAGCTGGGTCAGTTATCAAAGATTGGGAGCAGCCTGACTTTACCAGGCCACAGCTGTGAGCAATGAGAAGAAGATGCTATAACAGAGTGGGGTGGCTCTTTTTGAAAAAGAGAGGGTAGCCTTGATGTAATATTCAAACTACCAAACCCTCAGTTCTTCACAAAGTAGCCAGCTGGAGTCAGGTGGTTACTTTGTGAAAAAGAAAGAGTCAGTGCTCTGAGGAGCTGCCCACGAGAAAACACCAAAGTGTGAAACTTTTGCCACAAGGAGATAACAGTATGAAACCCCTGTGATAAAATGGTAACATATTGCCTGAATTTGGGACAAGCTGTGTTTGTTACACCAAAAGCAAAGCCCACCTGCAGTGCCAGGAAGCGAGCCTTGAGCCAATAGACCCGAGTGACAAACTCCATCCAGCCTTCCTCAAACAAATCTCGCTGTGAGGATGCAAAGGACAGCTGCAGCAGGTCTCCCAAAAAATGGGTTCCTGGGAAGTCAGGGCCAAACTTGCCATTCACAGAGGCAGCAGGACAATTTCTTGGAGAAACTGCAAATCAATGAATTACATTTTGTTATTAAATTACTGGCATCCCATGGAAAGAGTCCCACAGAACAGAATTTCAAAGGTCTGATCTAGCTGAAGGTAAACAATTGATAAAGCAATAAAAGACAGATCTGGAAGATATTAAGAAAAAATAGCTCCAAAATCCAGTGAATTCCTGGAAACATTTCCTCATACACTCCCAGTGTTTTTAGAGTTTGAAGAAAATTTAAGTTCTCACCTGTAGAACTCTTCCCTTTTGTCAGGAGCCACTGATCTAATTGCAGCTCCATGCAAGAAAGGCTCATTATCATCATATCCTTCAGAAAAAGTAAGGAGATATCAAAAGAGTATTCACAGCAAGAAATACATTAAAAGAAGCATAAATTAAAAAAGAATCACTAAATTTGCAATTTACTTCAAAGAAAGCCTTCATCTTGTCCTCTTGGGATTTCTATTCCCAAGCTACAACTACTTCTTCTGCCTGAGGTGTACAGTAACTGACAAATCAACAGGTACAAAGGCAAACAATACTCAGAACCATCAAAAAAGAAAAATCTCAGTTCATGGAAGAAGGTCAGAACAGCATTGCCTGATGTTAGAAAAAAATGTCATCCTTACTTTCTAACTTGGCTGAAATAAAAATAAAACTATATTAAATTGCCAAATCATGCCAAAAGCACGATTCCAGAATATAGCAGTAGCAGTGACATTTGAAAAATAAGACAAAATTTAAGAAAAGTAAGCAGTTATGCAGTAATAATGAGAGCCAAGGGAATACATTTATAAATGTATTTACATTTCTTTAAAAAAAGGGCATGTATATGTGAAATATATACATAAATAAGTCACAGGATGTATAAAAATTTAACGTCTGCTACATAGAGGCACTTTTGTTTGTTTTGCAAATGACATCAATGGAACACAGCAATTTCCATAATTAATATTTCATTTGCAAAGAAGTAAAAACACTTGATCTGAAAAAATATTTCCAACTGAAGTCATACCAAAGGCAAATAACTTTCCAAATGAATACAGACTGCAAACATTAAAAAGATAACACAGGCTGGCTCAGCGGCCAAGAATTATCAGAACTGGTTTTATAATACAAGAAATATCATCTTCTATTATTAGGGTGGTTTAACAATAATGTAAAGAATTTATTATTTTTTCTATTTGCTTTCAGGAAATTCCAGATTGATAAAGGTAATAAAAGATGATGCTGAGGAGGTGGTTTTGGTTTGTTTTGTTGTTTGGGTTTTTTACTGTAAATTCCAGGTTATCTAAAAACTACAGAGTATTTACTGTATTTAAAACAGCAATGCTGACCCTCAATCAGGCAGTGAGAACAGAGCAGCCTCTGTTCTGACCTGATGACAAAACAAAACTGTGTCATGTCAGAAAAAAAGGGAGGGGGGGAGGAAAAATGAAAGAGCAACAACAGAATAAAGGGGTAAAACATATCTGTGTCTGTGACATCCCTGTGGGTGTGTGTGCACAAACACACCTTACACACAGGTCAGAGCTGCAGAGTGGCACCACCCAGGTGTGCTCAGGCCAGCACAGCCCCAGGAGCTGCAGGGCACCCAAGTGTGGGACAGGCACTGGGACAAGCAGAGCTGCCAAAGCTGTGTCTGCTGGATTTCAGCTGGTGCTTTGGGCACAGGACAACAGCAGCTCTGGAATCAGGACAGGAGCTGCCTTACCTTGATGTGCTGATTGCTGGAGTCCCTCAGGAGTGGGTTGGGGAGGCTGCTGCTGTGCTTCCTCCAGCTGTTGTAGATGCTGAGCACCACCTCACACAAACCAGGAGGCCACTTCACCAGGAACTTCTGGCTGATGACTTTCAGGTATCTCATCATCAGCTCCAAGATGCCACCATTGTTCAGGTTATCCAGCAGGAATTCATGAACATCCTGCTTTTCTACAAAGCACATAAACACAAAGGTCTACATCTAAGGTTGAGGCAGATCATAACTTGAAACAATTAAGTTTTAACAGTGTTTTGTGCACTTCTATCACAGCAGTTCTGCACTGCACATGTGCAGAATTCAGTTACTGCATTCCAATGTGTTTAAATGGAAATTCCACACAACTGGGCTCCTGCACACAGTGATTGAACAATTCCCCAAGACTTAAAAAATGAGTACCAATTGAGATACTTCTATACTATAAAATTATACTTTTTAAAAAGCATATACTTCCATATCTTCAGGCATGACAGAAAAATACAGAAAATAAAGCACACAATACAGCAAAACCAACAAAGAATGAGCAGAGGATATAAGGCAATCCCTACCAGACTCCATAAATGTTGTAGAATCAAATGACATTCTGTGTGGTCCAACATGCTGAAAATTCTCCTCTTTGATCTCTGATTGCACCTCATAGTTATTGAAAGGGTCCTCCTCCTCCTCAGGGTCTAATTTCCTTAATCTGTGTGAAAGGGGGGCAAGAACCACAATATCAACAAAGTCCTTGTTTTTTCATTACTAGATGAAATCTAAATATGAAACACTGTGCAAACATTAACAGTGAGAATACATTACTGAAACAAATTCAGAGATTTGCATCCGGTTCCTTTCATCCAAATCAAGATTACTTGATCTTATCCATTTTGATATGTGCATTGTCCACTAATTCACTTTAACAGTAGCAAAAGCTTTTTTATTTTTCAATTTTTATTCAGCAATTTTTACTAAAAGCAGTATTATTACATCTATCAGAAGAAAATGCACTGCATCTGCTGCAAATAAACCCCATGAGACTGGTAGTTTTAAGGTTGGGGGGTATCAATTAAACAAAATTCCCAACAGTTTCATCTCTGTGATCATCTCATAACGAAAGTTGTTGCTGTACCTGGAAGGAAGGAACTTCACCAACAGCTCTTGAAAGTCAACCTTCTCCTCTTTCTTACACTTGGTGTTCCGAACTCTGGCAGATCTCCTTTTGGCTGTTTCTCCACTGTCTTCTGTAATTCTTCTTCTCTTCACTCCTTTCTTAGATTTATCACCTGCAGATATGTCACCTAAAAACATAAGGAAAAAAAACTCAAAACCTGTCAGGTTAAATTGACAAATCAAAAGTGACTAATCTTTTTTATTTTTAAAAACATAATTACACAGCAACACTTGAGATTCATTGGTTTCCTTCTGAAGCCAGTGCCAAAAAAATCTTGTACAGATTTCAAATAAATATAGCTGACAGCTTGGTCTTCTCAGCTTCTTAAAGTGACACATGAGCAGAAAAATAACATAGTCATCTTTTTGTAAAGCAGCTCATTCATTCTAAGGAGCTCCCAGCATGAAAAGTTTGATATGCATCACTGCTGGAATGGAGTCACAATTTTTCTCATCTAAAAGAACAAAAACTGAAGTGAGGGGTAACAGCACAAAACCAGAAAAGTACCAGTGAAGGTACTCCTTCACTCTCTCCATCAGGTGTTACACGTATGCTGAAAAGCTTCTGACTCCACCAATGTGCAGGTGAAAGACAGCATGTCCCAAAGAATTCTGAAGTGTTTTTTACACCCAGGTAGGTAGGAAAGGTATCTTGAATCTTAGATTGAAGTACCTTGCTCACCTACAGCAGCTCCTGGCTCCAGTGAACTCTGGCTGTGAGTTGGGAAGTTGGGTGTGGTTGGAGTGTAAGGTAACACAGGATCTGGCACTGCCACCACTGCACTGGTGCTGACAGGAGTTGGCTGAATAACACTGACAGGAGCAGAGGTGGGAGAAAGCATCAAATGCTGAACTGGGTCTCTGTACTCTGAGAGATCAATTCTCTTGCCCAGACTGGGGCGAGGAGGATCACACGTTGTGAGGTGCTGGTACATGGCAAGCAAGGCCTCTCCCAAACACTTCCACCTGCAAGGGAAACACAACAGCATCACAATGTCTCCAGGTCTTGTCACACTATTTTCTAGATTAAGTTTACAAACCTAACAGCATTCAACATTGGTTTTTCTCCAACAGCTTAGAGATAGCAGGAGCAGCCTCTCAGTGGGACAGCAATACACACCTGAGTGTCAAAACCTGTCCCACCACTCAAAAAATATCTCTAAAAACACAGGGTTCATGCAGTAGCTGCTGAGGAAATCACTCTATACCAAAAGCTGAAAAAAAGTAGTGTCAAAGAAAATTTTCAGGTTCTGCATTCAGTCAGCAGCACTAAAAGAACTCATCCCTATTCACAAGGAGAAACAATTTCTC